ACCTCACAGTAGAAGGTCCACAGACATGCAGTTAAATTGGAAAATCACTAGCTATGATTCTATTGTGGTGAGAGCTGTCTGCTAGCCAAAATTGGTAGGCAGTAAGTTACGTCAGTGTTTAAGTCCCAAATATTGGTCATAAGAAAAAACCAAGAACAAAGACAAACGCAACAATCAGTAACAACGGACTTTGCGTGGGTGTATATGATTAGCAGATATATGGTCTTGCCTTCAAGGAAACGGCCACAAAGAGATGACAGAATAACCTTCAGCGAGAAAACGACCAATCAGAAGACGCTGTTTCTCTGCTAATAATAACGAATAATAGTGTGCGTAAAAATCTACAAATATCTTTGATTTCCTCAATAAACGATCTGTTGCCTGGTACTTGTCTTCTGTCGTTACACTACTACTTTCAATATCTGAAATTATTCTCGAGGCTACTAGCGCATATTCACTCATCTCAGTCGAAAGAATACAGACTAACATTCCTGAATGTTTACTGAAAACTAGTAGCTGCAGTACTAAAATGAAATGCAGTTTGTTAGCCCTCGTTTTCTGACATCTCAGTCACATTATAACTGCAGACCAAAATGGAGCCATGAGTGATGACGATGGCTGACTTCGTGGATGCCAGACGGAATTCATCCCAAAGCACTGAAAGTGGACTCAGAGACCATGACAAATGGGCTCACGCCATTACTGCAAAAGGTTTGGAAGGAAGGAGTCCTACATAGGAATAAATATATATTATTAAGGAAAGGTACCTATCGATTAGAAGAAAGGCTGGCCACCTTATCAAGCCACCAAAGAAGGGCGATTTAGGCCTCACTCTGCAAGAACTGGTGTGGAATAATGCTCCTATCCATGCCAAGTAAAATACTAAGTCACGTCATCCTGGAGAGAATGAAATATGCACTGCATACAGAACCGCCCCGCCACCTGCCGGAACAAGCTGCATTCAGGGAAGGCAAATCATGTGCTGATCAACATACAACTCCACATATTGTCACGGAACAGAGCACTGAATGGCAGTCAAACATATACTTGAACTTCATAAACATCAAAAAGGCCTTCGACAGACAGCGTTGACGGAGAAGTAACTTAGACACTACTTCAACACTATGGCTTGCACTGCCTAAATCTACTACTACTACTACTACTAATATTAGTAGTAGTAGTTATTTGTGATTGTAATTAACAATTTGAGACTTACAAGCTGGATGTACCCACATTCTCAGGGAGTGATGGTGTTCTGGTTGAGGCTAAAACTCAAAACCTATGGTTTTATTTACATCAACCTTATCCACTAGGCCATTGGGGGGCATCAAATGAGAACATCTGAATACGTACTAGGAATGGACATATCATCAGAGGCTGAACACTTCAGTTCAATATAATCAATTAAAAAGGAAATGCAAGATTAACTTAAACAAAGAAACAAATAATGATGAACACTCACATAGTCGTACATCAGTAGAGACTGTCAATCAATAGAGAAACATTGACATTCATTAATACAAGTAAAGTGAAACCAAAATGGCAGGCGCAAACACACGGCAACATCTGTTTTCAGATTATTTAAATTCTAGAAAAACAAGGCTCAATCACAACAGACTATTTTGTAAATAACCATTCCATAGTAAAACCTAGCCTAGTCAGGTGATCCACAACGGGAAACTCAACGAGGCATTCGAAGTGAATACAGAAGTGAGACAAGGCTGCCTGCCTATAATCACCGATGACATGCCATGGCCATCACAAACAGGTAATTCTTTTAATAGTTTAGAGGCTGACGGTATTGACGTTCACGGATTGTACGAAGTATACTAACGCAAGATCTAATACCCACAACGTCTATAGTATTCGTTCCGTGTAGACCAAAGTCAAAGCAAAACACAATAGTTGATCGCCCAAATTACGATTTATATTGCGGGACCAAGTCAGAGTGTGAGATGACAGTGATCGTGCACGAACGAACGAACGTGACACTGTTGCTGCTATATTTTGACTGAACTAGAATACACGTATTTCCTAGTACTTCT